AAAGAGGTCCTGCCAGAAGGACAAAGCATCAGTCACATTAGCACAAAAGCACCTCCATGGCAACTCCTGAATGAGTCTGTGGAGATCATACTACCAACTCGATTGGTTTTGCTACAGCAAAACTGCACAGAAGCTGTGATCCTCTCCCAGCAAACACTGGTCAGATCCTAGAGAGCTCTTGCTTTATGAGCAGATTAGACATGTGCCTTCATGCTCATCTACACACTCAGCCCTGGCTTTCCTGGGCTATGCTTATACAGCTGTGAGCTTCCTGCAAGCATTATCCTCTCCAAAGCCTGTATACCACAGGTGTGTGCAGGACAGCACTGACAAACGTGACTAGTTAAATCTAAAGAGGAGACTCCCCAACCACCGTGCTGCTTCAGCCCTTCACACTCTATCAACCTACCAGTCAGAAAAAGATATGCAAGGTCAGGTTTTGAAAGTGGTATCACACTTGGCAGGGGAGGACCGGAGCTGTATTCAACTACAGATGCATTTAATCTTTTCAGTGACAATGTAGGAGAGACACTGGCTCCCTCAGGTCTGCAGGAACCCAGAAAACCTGACAGTCAGGGACAAGCCAGCAGAGCTGAAAGCAAATAGGCAGTTTCCCCAGAATGACGTAATACTGCAAGCCTACCTCCACTGTCCATAGACAGCTCCAAGCTACGACACCCTGCACACTCCCAGGACACAGACTACCCTATTTCCGCAGTTCAGCTCAAAGCAAACAGTCAGCTGGTTGAGCACTCTATTGCCCCCAGCTGACATTCATCCAGACAGGCTCTGATCCAAAAGATCCGCTGTGTCCCCCTTACACACTGGTCAGCATGGCACTCTTCAGCTGTTTCATTACTGATGGTCCAGCACCAGTGAGCTTTTCACAGCCTTCTCTTCATCCCTTATTCTGTGTGCCTTCATTTTGCACAGACATCTCTCATTAGATGCAAGGCTTTGTATGCAGTGAAATAATTGATTTCATGCTCTGTTGACAATGTTAATCACAGCAGCATCCGAGATGCTGAAAAACATTTCAAGCTTAGGAACTGGGGAGGAAGGGTACTCCAGGGAAGCGGAAGAGGAGGGGTTTCAGTGGATTGCTCTTCTCCCCCAGCTCTAATTACACTGGACAGCCTAAATCATTCTCAGACAGCACTGCACGGGGTAATACTTGGACAGAGCAAGTGCAGCTGGGATTCCAACCATCTGCAGACAAGAGAAAGAGATCTGCATTGGGAATTTTCTGCCGTCTTGTATTATGCCTACACACTCCAAGGGGGGGTGAAATCTGCTTATTCTCCATAGGTACCAAAACAGGGTTCAGCAGGTGCACCAGGCACAGGTCAGAGCACAAAGCAGTTACAGAAGGGAAGCAGCAGCAGTGTGTAAGAAAAGTCTGGACACAAAAGCAGTGTGTTAGGGTTGAGAGGAGCCAGCAGCTGTGGAGAGTTTAGATACAACAGCTGAACAGAATACATTGGAAGGCAACAGAGGACAGTGATATAAATGAAATATGGAAGCAGCTCTGGAGGGGCTGGGACTGCATAGGCGAAGAAAGACCAGGATATAGCTGCCAGATATCAGGAATCAAATGCTGAAAAGCACAAAAGCAAGAATAAAGATGAGGCTGTGGAAAGGAAGAGATGCATCTAGGGAATAAGAAGAGTGCATAAGCTGCAGCCATGCAAAAGCAAAGATCAAGGACATCTGCAAGAGCAAGGCATGGCAGCCATTCAGGATGACTAAATGCAGGCCAGTGGAGGTTGCAGAGAAACTGCTGTGCTAGGTGAAGAGTAAGAGCTACCTAGGGAAGGACAAAGGCTATAGAAAGTTCAAATGCAAATATCCAGCTGTCTTTCTTTGGGAGCTGGCTAACAGAAGCAGAGTTCTCTCTGTTCCTGCAGCTGCCTCCCACTGTTATTTTTTAACCACGGGAAATCTGATTTCATGCTGGACTGAGGTACTGAAAAACTATCAAGGGCAACTGCTGGGCCAGAGACCCCAAGCTCCTAATCTCTCACCTCGGCCAATGCTACCAATTAGATGAGTGGAAACATTCTTGTTGTGAATCCGTCCAGATGTTTGGTGTAGAATAACATCTCGAACAGGGGCCTCACTAGGGAAAAAGACAGACATCAGGGAAAGGTTAGGGAACCATGCCTGGGACTGTGCCAGAACAATCTCAAGAGCAGTGTACCCCAAAGCTCTACAAATCCAGAGACTGATAGAGTTTGTGCATAGGTTAGCCCTTTAATGATAAAGACCAAGGAAAAGAATGCATGCCACTCCAGCTATGGAACTCACTAATGTTTAAAAAATGAAAACAGAATGATTTGATGCATCAGAAAACTGGAAAGAGCTCAAAGAAAAAAAAAGACAAATTCAGTAAACCATGTATTCTAACCAAGGAAAAAAAGACAAATTTTTATCATTACTGTCACATAAGCCTGGCTGCTTTTCACTCAGGAAGTGTCTGCCCAGGGTTGAACAGGTTGGTCAGAGATCATGCCTGGGCCTGGCTTCTGGCTAGGAGGGTACCATTCCGCTAAGGTCTCTAAGACATCAAGGAGATGTGTCTAGCTCCCCTCCCGCTGCAGTTTTCTGGGTTTGCCTTAAAGTCTCACAGAACGCCACACAAGCACCTGAATTCCCCACAAGGCTCCCTCCAGCACCAAGGACAATAACCTCACTGTTCATCCTGATTGCTCTGGTTGTGATTTACAGCACTGGCTGCCAGGGGTCTCATTAGGAAAACCTCCAACTACCGCACCTGGAAGAAACGAGTGAGTGAACCCAAAGTGTAATCCTGGGCTTCAGACTAACTGGGCTTGGCCCAGCCTTTCACAGTTGCTACCTTTCCCACCATTAGATAGGTCATCAGATTGCCTACTAGTCTTTCTCTGGAGATCTAGGTCACTCATTTCCCTGCCTTAGCCCCCAGTGAGCTGGTTTTGCCTCTCTCCTTGCCCAACCCAAGGAGAAGAGAGTTGGATACAAGGAAAGCAGTAGTGTTCATCTTCACGAGAGGCATGAAGAGTGTTCATGGAAGCTTGGATGCAGGTGGGCTTAAGTCATGAACTCCCAGCAGCACAGCAGGTCACTGAAACAAGGACAAGTGACAGCACCCCCTGCCTCAGACAGGTGGTGCGTCCTTGTGGGCCGACATCTACAGCGGACTCTCCTCATCTATCCCATGCAGTCATGCTCTTCACCTGCTTGGGGCAGAGTTGTCTCTTCCCTCTGTCGTGGCCTGCTGCTCAGAGTCCCAGGTGCACAGGAGAATGGCATAACCACAGCCTGGCTGAGACACCATCATCTCCGGTGAGCCATCAGGGCCTGGGTTCACAGAGAGGCTGTCCACCTATACTGACAGAGGAAAAACAGGGATAGAGTCAAACAGAGTTTTGAACACCTCAGAAAGGTTCACTGTGCTCCTTATACCCAAATTTGAATAAGGCAGATCTTCTGATAGAGCTGAACAGGAGCTGAACAAATTCAGCTAGAAGCAAAATGTCCAAGTTACAGTAAAAGGTTATGTTTCCTACCAAAAGCCACTTAAGGATGCACTAGTATTTTCCACTAAAGCTCTCTAGTCAGGTGAGAGCAACTGACTGTTTCCCAGACCAACCCACCAGCTGCTCTGCATGTACAGGACAACCACAGGGCGAATCTCCTTTCAAGCCATCAACATGACAATTGCTTTGTTCATAGCACTGAGATTTTGTGCTTCTTCCCTTGGGAGAGCCACCTCTTGAAGACTGTATGACAAGTTCTGCTCTGAACATCCTGTTTCCTTACCTGACCTTCTAGCAGCCATTTCTTCAACAGGAGCAGCTGCCCAGAAACATGGTCTGAATTCTCTGACAAGTCCTCCCAGCGGAAGGCACGTACCACCCTGTCAGTGTAACCCACCACCAACTCACACTTCCCATCTCCATCTGCAGGGAATACAAGGAGATAGATGCGTTCTCTCAGGCTTTCATAGCCCCAAGACCCCCAGCATTCAGCAACCACTGTGCTGGTTTCCATCAGGTAGCATCCCTGAGGATCCCAATCCTGTAATGAAACTTGCACTGCAGGAAAATTCCTGAAGTTCTTGCTTCTCTCCTCCGTGACTCAGCTGTGGTTTGTTAGAGCACTTGTTCCAGCAAGACAGTAGTTTCCTGCGAGTCCCACATACTTTCTCTCCCACCCCCACCTCATACCCATGAACTCCCCCACCCTGCACTCCCACACCAGCTTCCCAGCTCACCAATGTCACTGATCAGCATGACCTTGGTGTTGGCAGGAATGTGCTGCTTGAACACTGGCTTCTGCTCTTCTGCTGCTGCCAACTCATGGTGGCCTGAAGCATCTGGGTGTTTTGAAGTGGGAGAAGTCAGGTCAAAAAGATGAAACCAGCCTTCTGCACTCACTGCCACCACGAGATTCTAAGAGGGAAGAGAAAAACATTTTGATTTTTCCTCTTTTAGAAACTGCAGAAGCTGTTCCACAGCAGGGCGAGGGAAGATATGAGGGTAGACCCATCAAGGTCAGTGACTGATACAGAGGGAACAGGAGAAGGTTTTTGGCCAGCATATAAACTACTCAGGTACTTCAGGGTCCAAACTTCTTGTTCATCCTTGTCAGACTAGGAGATCAAGCTGATATGTGCACGCAATCCCCAAACAATGTGTGGCTTTCTCAATGCTCACTTCAGCTCTGCTCCCCACTGGAACACACACAGCTACAGTATTTTAGGCAAGGTGCCTAAACTGGGACTTTTGGACTCACCGGTTTAACCCCCAGAAATAGTAATCCAGCAAAAGGAGTCATAGTAGACCCAGTGGAAATTTGCTTGGGAGTCTAGACTACTCTGTGGCTCAGTCTTGTTTAAATGACCTTAAATGCACCCAGCCAAGTGGCAGAAGGGCCATGGTCCACAGCAGGGACCAGCACAGAGCAGGGCAAAAGCCACTGAGGTCACCAAAGCCTTGTGGTGCTCACACAAGGGAATATGCAAATCAACAGTGCTTTCTGAAGATAGGATGGATTTCCTTGCTCACTAAAACCAGAGTATGGCTCACAGACAGATACAGGTTATACGTAAACAGAACAACAGTTTTAAAACAGTAGTGCCAAAGTCTATGCGCAAGGGCAGATCCTGGAGAGAAAGCACCTGCAACCTGTCCTCCTCCACACTCAGGGTATGACATAACCCTAATCTCCTAAGCATCTCCCACATGCTCTACAGACACAGCTGGGAAGAGTTTGGCTGCTCTCACCTTTCCTTTATTGCATACATCTCCCACGCCAACACATGTAAGCTGCAAGAGAAAAGAAGGCCATACATGAGAGAAGGCAACCCAAAACGGCACTTTGGGATAAGCCTCTGCCCTACCCCCTCCCCTCATAAACCATCTCTTGAATGTTAAACAGCCTTTTCAAGGACAAAGACAGCAGAGTCAGGGACAGAAACACATCTGCCACACAACTGCCCAGAGCCGTGGGGCAAAATCCACAGTGCACAGGAGCAGGGTCAAGGTGGGACAGTTCCTGTGTTTATTCAGTACTTTGCTCATCACTTCTCGCTCATGGGGCTAGCTGTGGGCAAAAGCAGGGTCTTGCATAACTACATGAAAGGCACCAGAAACCATTCTGGCTGCCATTCCCCTCTGGCCTACATATTCCTAGGCAGCGGTCAAGGACAACTGGCTGCACATACACCAAAAGGCCCAGCCATTTGAAAATTTTGTCAAGAACTGACCATTCCTTGGCAAGATCGCACAGCCCAGGGTTTGCTGTCATCATTCTTGTAAACATAGAGTTTCCCGTTGGTGTCTCCCACCACTAGCTCATTCAGCTGTAGAAGAGAATTGGGTTAGTAAGAAGAATTCACAATTACAGTGACAGTATTCCCACACAGCAATAATTACAGAATTCATATCTAAAAATCACTCTGTGCGAAGCAGTAGAAAAGCAAAACAAGAGTTAAAGACAGCCTTGAATCAATAGAGGTGGTCTGGGAAAAAATAAAAGCCCTAGTTTTACTCTTGCAGATAAAAGAGCTGGAGAGTGGCTCCTCAGAGCAACATCCTATTATCCACTGCTTCTCTAGCCATTGTTTCAGAGTTGCATCACTGACTGTTTTAACAACCTGCTCTGCTAATTGTCATCATCACCCCCCACATCTTCCATCCTTCAATCTAGATTGACTTGATCTTTCTTGAACCACCTGAGAAAGATGATGGCAATGAGGAAAATGTCATCATCCAGAAAGAAGCTGCAAGAACACTCACCAACAAATTTACACTGGATGTTAAATCTCAGTGATGAAGGGGTCTTTCAGAATGGTGATTATTTCTTTAAAGACAACTGCTAAAAATCACCAACCTCCCTGGCTGATGAGCCTACTCCTGCATCTTCTGCATCGCATCTTCTGCATCATGCCTCTGTGTATTTAAATGGTGTACATTTTGTAACTCCCTATACACATTACCCCACATAACACAACTTCTTATGGGAAAATCTGTCTCATCATCTACTGCATTGCTAACCATGACACTTTTCAGAACAGAAGGACAGGGCTGTAGTAAATTTGACTGTTGAGGAGAAGAAGGGACAGTTTACATATATCTGGTTAAGTTTACATATATCTGGCTCTTCCTAGTTACAGACAAACCAGAACTGTCAGAAACAGCCATTTGTGGGGCTGACAGCAACATTCCTGACGCACATCCATCCATCATACAGGTCAAGAGACACTCAAACTTGCTCTACCCTGTTTGCAGGGTTAACAAACTGTGCCCCAGCAAAGCGTTTCCCCACATCTCTACATCTCCACCACCACAATAGGAGAGCGTCTCTCTTTGGGACCAAAAGCTAACCTCCCTACTAGCTAAACATCATCCAGGGCCCATGCCAAGGGCGCCTAGCACCTCTAATGGCGATGGGAGCACTGGCC